GCCTTCATGGGCCAGCCCAAGGGATGACAGCCTGTATTGGCCAGTGGGTTGACAGTTTGTATCAAAAGAATTTTTTCAAAAATTTCAACACTGTGCCAAAAATTTGCTTGGAGGTTTGGTTAAAATTTTTGCTTTGCAACCAAAAGAAAGTATGCTAATTACTTGTTAATTTTTTAACAATTTGGATAAATATTTAAGTGCATTATCCATTTTAACATAAAAGTTAAAAACACTCACATAAACATCTTAAAACAAACAAAAATTATAAATGAGTTGCAAGCTTTATAACTAGTTACAACTAGTTATAACTGCTTTATAAGTACTTGTTAGGCTGTTACTAAGCAGTAAGCATTTGCTGTAACAGATGTAAGTGTCTAGCAAAACACCAGAACATCAAAGTACGGTTGGAGTTGAAGCGCAAAATTCGCTGGGCTGTCCGGTGGAGAAACCTCCAATCGGGTCATGGTCCTCGTGTGAGGGTCGGCCCGCGGGCCCGCGCAGGTCCGCAGTGGGCTCGCATACGTAGTATATATATATATGTATATGTATATGTATACCAATTGCCATTTCCACCATGAAATGGGTGGCCTTAAGGCCTATATAAATTGGTTGGCAGGGGTCATTTTGTAAGAATGAAGCCAGAACTCATGTTGTAAGACTCTCCAAAATACAGAAGTCATTTTGTAAAGAAATCAAAGTTAGAATTAACATTGAAGGGGGCACACCCTTGATTCTGTAAGAGCATCGTCAATATTCAAAAAGTCTTTTATAGGAAGGTTATGATATGAACAATGGGTTCTTAATTATGTGGCCAGGTTGCTCCCCCTCTTTATGTAAGACACTTGCAATTCTTTCCTAGAGTCATTTTGTAACGAATTAGTGCCCTGTGGTGTTTGAATCATAATATACTTTTTTTGTTTTCCGGTCACCGGTCCGGTCACCGGCCAGGTCACCGGTCCGGTCTCCGGCCCGGTCTCCGGCCCGGTCTCCGGCCCGGTCCGGTCTCCGGCCCGGTCACCGGTCCGGTCACCGGCCGGACCGGTCATGATCCGATCTCCGGTCCGGTCTGCGGCCCGGTCTCCGGCCCGGTCTCCGGCCCGGTCACCGGCCCAATCACCGGTCACCGGCCCGGTCTCGGGCCCGGTCACCGCCCCCCAACGCCGGCCACCGGACCTGCAACCAGTCAACAATTGTTTTTTATCCACGCAACATCTTTCTTAAAATTTTACCCTTGCATTGCCCGCAAAAGAGAAAGTGAAGTTGGAATGACCACTCCTTTCTCTAAAATTTACCCCTGCATTGCCCACACAAAGGGGTAAGTCAAGTTGAAATGGCAACCTCCTTCTCTAAATTTTACCCCTACATGGCCCACCAAAGGGTGACTCAACTTGGGCAACATCCTTCTCTAAATTTTACCCCTGCATGGCCCACAAAAGGGTGAGTCAAGTTGGAAGGGCCACTTCCTTGTCTAAATTTTACCCCTGCTTTGCCCACATAAAGGGTGAGTCAAGTTGAAGTGGCAACATCCTTCTCTAAATTTTATTCTCGGGTGGCTCACCAAAGGGCGCGTCAACTTGGAAGGGTAACTTCCTTCTCTAAATTTTACCCCTGCATTTCCCACACAGGGGTGAGTCAAGTTGAAACGGCTACATCTTTCTCTAAATTCTACCTCTGCATGGCCCACAAAAGGGTGCGTCAAGTTGGAATGACCACTTCCTTCTGTAAATTTACCCCTGCATTGCCCACACAAAGGGGTGAGTCAAGTTGAAAAGGCAACATCCTTCTCTAAATTCTACCCCTGCGTTGCCCTTGCATGGCCCACAAAAGGGTGGGTCAAGTTGAGGGCCACTTGCTTCTTTAAATTTTACCACTGCCTTGCCCACAGAAGGGTCAGTCAAGTTGAAATGGCAACATCCTTCTTTAAATTTTACCCCTGCATTGCCCACAAAAGGGTGACAAAGGGGTAAGTCAAGTTGAAATGGCAACCTCCTTTTCTAAATTTTACCCCTGCATGGCCCACCAAAGGGTGAGTCAACTTGGGCAACATCCTTCTCTAAGTTTTACCCCTGCATGGCCCACAAAAGGGTGAGTGAAGTTGGAAGGGCCACTTCCTTGTCTAAATTTTCCCACTGCATTGCCCGCGTAAAGGGGTGAGTCAAGTTGGAAAGGCGACATCCTTCTCTAAACTTTACCCCTGCATTGCCCACAAAAGAGTAAGTCAAGTTGGAGTGATCACTTCCTTCTCGGTCGCCGGTCTTCGGCCTGGTCACCGGCCCGGTCCATAATATATTCCGGTCACCGGTTTGAATAGATTTGGGATTTGATTTGTAGCTATTTGGCTGAGTGTTCGGATCGAGAGCCCGAATTCCACTGGCAACCATCGCTCGAATGTGGATGCAGAATGTGGATGCAGAGTCTCAGCCAGCATCCAAGGCATATCCTATATGCACACGTTGCAATTGAAAGCAACGGTGATGCCTACAGATAGGGGGGTCTGTACGGACATGGATCGGCCGGCAGAGCGCTGAAAAGCCCTAGCAGCATGTTTTTGCACTGTTTTGCTATGTCCTTACAAAATGGGTCTTTGTCTTTTTGTTTGTTGGACATGTTGAAACCAGAGATCTACATTGAATAGTGAATTCCATATAAACGGTCGGGGCATGCCGGGCATGACGCCTGGATAATGTCTAAATATAGCTCTCTACAAATCGAGAGGGCATCTACCCGGGCCATTGGTGCTTACGTGACCTGTCATTCTGTAAAGCTTACATTTTGACACACCTACTCATTATGTAACGGGGGGGGTATATCCTTCAGGTTTATACCGACAAAATGTTCGCCTTGACCCCTTAGGGGTAATTGTATTGGGGATATATATGTGTATATATATATATTTACATTGGTGTAAATGTATCATATATATATATATGTGTGTAGTGCGTATATGTATACATACATATGTATACATGTTATTTTGCTGCACTTTTTCATTTTTTGACATGTTTTTAGGTCTTTTTTGATATCTCGTTATATGTTTTCAATACACGTCAACACCGGTAATCAGGGGGCGCAGCTTGGGAGTAACCGCGCTATCCCCGAGAGCGTTCGTAAAGGGTTCAATAGGCAGATTCAAGCACTACGCACGGCTAACGCTAGACATACACCGGTGTAAAAACGCGAGAACATCACGACGAGATTAATTGTATAACAGAAAAGAGTTTGAACGCGAGAGTATCAATACAAGAGTCGGAGCATAAAGTATGAACATGGACATGCGTGTTGATCAAGCCTTGTCTTCAGCTCCTGTAGACCCTTCGCAGCCTGAGGTAAGCTAAGAGTGCAGCGAACAACTGCGATCCCCACGAGTAGTCTCAACATACGCGTAGTATATTTATATATATATAACCGTGCGCGTATAAGTTCATAGTGTATGTGTATTTTTTATGTTTACATATACGAATGTGTATATGAACATTTGTGTTTATATGTATAGGTGCGTACGTTTGTATATGTATGTACTTGTCTATAATTCTTTTTAAACATGTTGTCCAACATCATCAATGTTTATCCCCATTTTTGCAAGTACATAACTCTCTCTCTCTCTCTGTATGTATACATATGCATTTATCACATGCGTCAACACCGCTAACCAGGGTGCCTGGCTTGGGAGTCACCACGCTTTCCCCGAAACCATTCCTGAAGGGTTTCTTCACGGCAGATTCAAACATGAGATGTCTTTTTACACACGGTCTCTTGACGCTAGCCAGACATACACCGGTGTATCAACATGAGGACATCGCCACGAGTCACGCGAGCAATTATAAGAGTATGAACGTAAAAGGGAATAGTTAACAGTGAAAAGTCTCAACGCGAGGGTGTTAAGATACGGGTGCCAACATAAGAGTAGAAACATCAACGTAAAGAGAAGAGTCTGCGCATAGGAGTGTGAACACGAGAGTAGCAAGGCAAGTGCATTAACGCGAGAGTATAAGTGTGCGTGCGCTGTGCATATGTTTCTATTATTTTTGCAAACTCTTAACATGCATGCGTCTAAATGTGCATCTGTGTAGGTGCGCGTGTCTAGATGCTCATGTATGGATTTACTTGTACGAAACACTCTAGAATTTGCATGTGCGCACAGACGCTTGAAAACATACATATATGCCATATGAACTTAACTCAGGCCACACTTGTTTGCTTGTGCTGTCAATCTGTTTGAAAGGTGCCACCTCACATGATGCAAAAAGTTTATAACCCGGCGCGAGCCCGCAACCCGCGCCAAGCCCGTGCCGAGCCCACAATGGGCCCGGAAGGGCCAGCGCAAGTTGACCCTCACACGGGGACCACTCCCGCCAGTCGGTTGTGGTCTGTTTTTCCTTCCTCCAGGGGTCTAGACGGCTGGTCCAATACTGGCTCTTCTTCTTTTTTTTGTGCGCCTCCCTTGAGCTCGCTTCGCCCTGCTTCGCTCAAAGCTGACATTTTTGGTTTGCCGCCGCATTTTGGGTCGCGAGGGGAACGATGTGTATGATATTTGTACCGTTGTGTTTTTCACTTGACGACCTGGAGGGTGCCATTTTGGAGCCTGAACAATAGTATGCAATGCTGTGTTTGTGTTTGGTTTGCAATTTTCCATATGCGCGCCGGACTTTCTTTCTGATCTTTTTGTAAAGTCGATTCTTGTGGCAGTACATTAAAAGCAGGTTGTTTCCTCTTGACACGCTCAGTTCGAGCCTGAGAATCATGGTTTGCGAGGCAGATGGGAACCACCGTCAAACCTTAATATTTATCGTCGCTGAGTCGTGTGATTCCATTGCTTGCCCAGCAAAGCTTAGGGTCTTCAGCCATGTCGATGTTTTGTCCAGTTTTTACTCTGTCAGAAATCCCCATTGCCTTGCACGGCGAGGTTCACCGGATGACAGATCGAAGTCAGAGGACGAGGACCAAGCGGACGAGGACGAAGCCGATGAGGACGAGGACTCAACAGAAGTGCTCCTGACAGAGGATGCTGACGAGGCTTCGATCAAAGAAGACTCAGCAGAGGATGCTGACGAGGCTTCGATCGAAGAAGACTCAGCCGATGAGGACGAGGATTCAACAGAAGTGCTCCTGACAGAGGACGCTGACGAGGCTTCGATCGAACAAGACTCACGCGAAAGAGTGGAAGACGCAGTGCAAAGTGACCCTGCGGGAAATTCGTGCAGCCAAGATTCTGATTGCCTCAGTGGTGTTTGTGTGACCAGTATGGTAGGCTACTTGAAGTCTGCTGGCTACCGTTTGGGGCAACAAGACATCACCGGCTTTTCATCGAAGATGTGCAAACCAAAGCTTCACGACTTCGACGTTGATGCTTGCACGAGCGCGTCGATATGTTTGAAATTACACGCGGGGTACTTTCATTTATTATTCCAGGTGTGGGGTCACCTCCAGAAATAGGACTTTTATTATTCCAGATGAGGACCAACATAGTCTATCCTCAGCGCACCCCCCATGAAATTACACATGAAGTTTCGCACGTTGATATTGCTTTGGTAATTATCCTAGATTACGCTCCCTGAAATCAATCATGGTTATTGACACCTTATGTTGTTGGCAAGGCCCCAACAGGACTTGAAAGTACGGGACAATGAAGTCCGAAGACCAAATGTTTTGGAAAGAGAAGTTCTACTCTTTCTTCCCGAAAGCTTTCGAGGCTGCAGTCCGGATCAAGAGTTTTGCCCCTCTGACCGCGTCCGCTCGGTGACCGCCGTGCGCCCGACGCTTGAAACCGGTGATGAAAATCCAACCCTTCGGCAGAGAGAGGAAAACGCATGTTTTATACGTCTGAGGAGCTTATCCCTCTGTCCAGCAACTACCCGGAGTATGCGTTTATTTTTGAAGAGGCCAGTTCTCGCGGTGTTTTTTGTCGCACAAAAATGCATCAAAGCCGACGGCCTATCAAAAGCGTGGCCATGTATAAAATTACTTGTATGTGTCTTTGGATATTCCATAACATATTGAACTTTCTGAGCTCAAGGTGAAACACTGACGTGGGACACCTGTCAGAAGATCCACTGCAAACACGAATGAAGCAACCCGGTGCCTGTCTAGGTGGCTTTTAGAAGATGGTGAGGATGCCGGATGAGACAGAAGAACAAAGCAAAATTTGTGGGAAAAAGGCAGACATCTCCCAATTGTTCCTTTAGATCTGTAAAGCATCTCCTGTAAAAAAGAAACCTTTCAAGGACGTCCAATTCGAAAAGGGAAGACCTATTCTTTGTCCGTTCGCATCCCGGCGTCGAGGCCCGTACCAAGTGGCTGAGCGTGATCAAGGGCCTCTCACGGGCGATCCGCTTCGTAGATGGTCCGATCACCCTGCAGATCTATTTTGACTATTTCTTTGAGAACTCCAGGACTCTAGGACTGCCCCGCGAAGTCGGACCTCGCTCCGTCAAGAATAGACCAAACACAGAGTGGACACACCGGGAGTGGAGTGTCCCGGGGTGTCCCGGAGTGTCCCGGTCACGAAGCGCGGACGCATGGTGTTTGCAGGTCACAAGGCAGACAAGCGAATCAGTGGAGTTCCAAATTCGAACTGCAGCGCGTTGTAAGAATTGTTTTTTTCCAGTTTTGGTAACAATCTACGTTTTTATCATGGTTGATGTTTCCCACGCCTAAAAACGACCATAAGAAGGCCAGGCCACAGCTGTTGATGCTTTTCCTGTGCTGTGTTCTGGGTGGGGGCGGAGGGGGGTCGACAAACATATGTTGAGCTTGTCGTGCTTATGTGGCGCCATGTGATGAGGTAAATGGATTGCAGTTTTGAACTATCAACGCTGGCTATTTAAGCATAATTGAAGAACGTATACGCACAGACTACAATGACTACAAGCCATTCTCAATGCAGACACTGCTCAGTCAGCGTGCCGCGCGCGATGGCTGGCGCGCTTTTGCGCGCTCCCCACACTGCAGCCCGGGCGTTTGTTCTAGGGTGAAAAAACAATAATGATGCCTCAAAACCACGCCCTCTGCACACTTGCCAAACATACCGAGCACTTCTTCGCACCGACGCGAAACATGGTTTTCGACCTCGACTTGCCTTTCTCGTCACCGTCACACGGTGGATAGACGTCCAGACAAGCCCAGTGGCCGGATGGTAGGGACGGATTCCTCACACCTTCGGACGGAACGGATTCCTTCCACTCTGGTCGGTCATCTCCGATCCGCGGACCGCGGCGCAGGCTCGGCGGGACCGAGCAACGTCTATAAAGTGGATGGAGTGGATGGTGGCTCCTATTGGATTCCAGCGATAGGAACCATGAATTTCAACGCTCGCTTCCTGGTGGACAACTTGATCTCGCTGGAGCTGTTCAAGGCTCATGTTGGGATGTCGTGAGGGATGAATCACTTCTTGGAATGGCGGACAGTGAAGGCACACGTGTTTGTTCTGTGTTCAACTTGGAATTCCTCGCGTTGCTTCGTCAGTCCAGGCGCATGTTGGCTGTTCTGCGTTTGTAGTTGGCGACTGTCCAACGTGGCTGGACTCCACCATCTTCCGATGTCGCCCGGTAGACTCGCCCGACAGATGCCCATCAGTGAAACACGCGGACACGCGTAAGACACATGGGCCCAACACATCAAAAGTCAGACTTCGAATTCACGATGTCTCGCAAGACTTCTTTTCACTCATTTTTTGTTGAGTGGCCATCCGTCTATACTCAGTCTATATATTGTAGAATAGAATGAAATAATACAATAATATACAATATATGGTATTATTATAGTATAATGTAATATAATGTCGAATCTCCAGGTCACATGTTGCTCGACCATGCTGTTCGTTGCATTCGACTCCGGCCCAAATCAGGGGTGGGTGCGGAGTGGTTCGTTGAGCCATGAGGAGCTGTTGAGGAAAAAGCAGCATTGTGCGGCTACGTGGAAGGGTCAAAACACCCCGGAACTATCACACCGGAAATCGTATTGGTGGGATTGAGGACAATCTTGTTTGTTGGACATTGAAAGCATTTTGGTGAGGACACCAACCAGTTTTGTGGACAGTGGACTGTCTGGCTTTGAAATTAGTAGTGGAGCCTACCATCTTTGGGACCTATGTCGACAGAAGGTTCAGTTGCTACACAGTTGGCTCAGCTGGTACCCACTTTTGATCCTGGCACGGACAATGTGGAAGTCTGGCGCCAAAAGGTGCTTCTCTTGGTGAAGGCATGGCCGGGCAAGCTAGTTGAGTTCGCAACGCGCATACTGCTGAATACAAAAGGATCGGCATTTCAGAAATTGGAACTTCGTCAAGCTGAGGTTCTGACAGGTACCAAAGAAGGGATTCAGAAGATCATCGAGATCGTGACCGGCCAATTCGGCCAGGTGGATTTAGAAAAGAAGTATGATGTGGTTGACCGTGCATTGTACAAGCGTTCTCAAAAGGCTGACGAGACGTCGGACAGCTATTTGACGTCAGCCAGCTATTTGGCCAGAGCAGATGTGGCATGGACAGAAATTGATGTCAAACGGCTACGTGGAAAGGTGAGGACACCCCGGAACTATCATACCGGAAATCGTATTGGTGGGATTGAGGACAATCTTGTTTGTTGGACATTGAAAGCATTTTGGTGAGGACACCAACCAGTTTTGTGGACAGTGGACTGTCTGGCTGAGAAGCTACCAATTTCATTTGAAAATATAATACAATATAATATAATACAATCAAAAAATATTCAATCATTTAAGGTAGGCAGGGTCGGTGATGATGAATTATTTGGGAAGCTTCGAATCAACGTCTCCCAATGTTTGAATGCTCAAGCCAAACTGGGGGGACGCCCCTTGAGGAGCAGTGTCGCTGCTGGCTCAAGCCATCTCTGCTCTCCAGTGTTCGCTGCTCCCACCATTTTCTGTTGTGGATCATGGCCACCGTCCCTAAGCAGCTTGCTACGCCGGAGGACACCTTCACCGCTCTTGCGCTGCAGTTCAATTTCGAGCAGCGCATCAAAGACAAGATCATTGAGTTGGGGATTCGCACCATTGCAGAATTCCGCCACTACGCCCGCAGTGAGGATGAAATCAAAAAGCTCTTCATCGATACAGTCAAGGATCCACCCTATGAGGAGATGCAAGGGCGCCTCCAGGCTGCTCGGCTGCGCTTCGCTTGGACGGCGTGCAAGGCCTTGTTGGATTCCGAGCACGCAGCGGCCAGCCTGCCTCCAGCGCCAACGGAAGAAGAGACGCTGCTTCCCAAACAGGAGCTCGAGCAGTTGAAAGAGGCTTTCTTTCGACGCTACCACTTGCGTCCAGAGCCTCGCCAGTATCCCTCTGACCGACTGCTGTCTAAGCTCAGCCGACAGCTGACACGAAGCCAGTTCGAGGTCATGGATCTGTGGACGGTCCGCTCACTCACTTTCCAGCGCACACATAGCCAGAAGCGGCGACGCCTGACGGGCAACTTGTACCTCCAAGAGGATGACGAGGACGAGATCACCGCCAAGTCCTGGCTCTCCTACATGGCCAAGATGGACACCTACTTCTTGGCCCTGGCTATTGTGGGGTGTCGCCCCGTGGAGCCGGCGCCGTCTGCGCCTGAGTCGCTCGGTGCAGACAGTGTGCAATACGTCCAGGTCCCCTATGACATCCTGCTGTCCTACTCCAGCCGCTGCCATGATTTGATTCTGCGCACCTCGGAGGGGAGGCGCCTGCAGCTGGTCCAACACCTCGATGTGGAAGAGCGCGGTCAATGGGCAGCCCGATGCACGGGCCACACGACACTTGGCAATGTCATCAGTGCCATCATGCGGGAGCGTGACGCCCTTTGGTTGGCCGGGGCCCTGCCAGCCCCCAGCATCACCACGGGTACCGCTGCTGGCGGCGCGTCACCCGCCAAGGCCCCCCCTGCGGATGCAGGGCCGGTGGGGTCGGTGGTTTCCACTCTTCGTGATGGCACGCAGCTTTGTCAGGCCTACCAGCGCAATCAGTGCCGCACCAAGAAGAACTGCCCACGGGGGGCGCACCGCTGCGGAGTCGTGTTGCAGTCAGGACGGGTCTGCGGATCGTACCAGCACTCACCTTCAGGATGCCCCAAGGCTGCTTGAAAAGAGGGCCGCTCCTCTGTTGGGGGGGGGCGAGGCCAATCTTTGGACACTCCTGTCTTTCATGATTTCCGTTCATTTTTGGCCGAGTTGGAGTCCATTGATATGCACCAGACTGAAGCCTCATCCTGCCCCATCCTCCTTGATGTGTTCAGTGGAGTCCATGCACCGTTGTCCAAGGCCTTCTTGTGGTGCCAATGGGAGATCATCACACCGATTGACATCGAGATCGATCAGGACCTGGACGTGTCGCGTCCGGCGGTCCGTCGGGCTATTCAGGCGGTGCTCCCTCGAGTGGCAACTATTGCGGGGGCTATGAGTTGTGCTACCAAATCAAGAGCTAGGGAGAAACGGCCCGGTCCCCCTCCTCTACGATCCGAGGAACACCCACGGGGTCTACCAGGACTGGACGAGGGACAACAGGCACGGGTCGACGCTGACAACTACTCCAGTGATTACCTGTTGGCTTTACAACACTGGGGACATCAACAGAACCTCGCATGTCTTCGCGAGAACCCGCTCAGGTCTCTGCACTGGTGGGACCCGGTCGAGCAGTACCTGTGCCAGGAGGATGATTGGCAGGATTTGGACTACGATGCATGCGTCTTCCGAGGCGCTCGGCGCAAAGCCCAAAAGTTTCGTCACAACATCCCCGAGTTGGCCTCCCTTCCGGCCGTTCGATGTGGACACATTCATGACCCCAACGAGTGGCGCTCGTCGGGTAATGGGCAGTTCTCCACCTTCAACGAAGCGGAGTACACACCTAGTTTGGTCTTCACCCTAGCAGTATGCTGCACGGCATGGGCGGCGCGACAGGGCTAGTGGCCAGCCTCATGGCCCTTTGTCCAGATATCAGTTGGGAGGGATTCCAGTGGCCTATGCTTGAAGACCTGCTAGTGGATGACTCGCACTACCAATGGCTCAACTACATGCAGAACCGCCCGGACTGGGACGGACACGCCTTTGGTCCACGGTTGGTGGGCCCATTGCGATGAGCGGCCTTCAGCAGCCCGGAGCGGCTGCTGCTGCAAAAGCCTTACCGCCTATGATCCCCTTTGGCGTAGGGGAGGAGCGACATTTTGAACTCGCACTTGAGTTGCAACAGAGACCCACCCCATTTGAAACTATGGGTGTTGTCGGTGATGATTTGATCTTTGCCGCATCTGGCTATGCAGCCCAGGGAGTGGGCCTGCGGGAGGTGAGGAGACGTACAGGCCGTTGGCTCCAAGAACTGAGCCGTCGAATGTGGCCCATCACATACCACCTCCAAACTTATCAGCCACCGCCCGTGCGGTCCGCCACTCAAGGGCGCCACATCGCCCTGATTGGGCTTATCATGCTGATTACTGGATGGCCAGACACTACGTTCGTGGCTAACCTGATATATGGTTTCCCTGCCGTGGGCTTTTCCCCGCATGTGCCCGTGTACAAGGCTCAACCAGCTCACTACATCCCGGACGCCTCCATCTACCAGGACGCCCTGCCAGAGGCTGCCCGCATCATCCAAAGCCTCCGCCCGGGTGAACACGACACGGCCATTGCCCAGGCGGGTGAGGAAGACCAAGCCAAAGGCTTTTGTGGCCCCCCCAATGACATGGGCCCAGCTCTGCCAGGACCTCCCCCAATTCAGGCTGATCCGGAGGTTTTGTATACAACAGCCCTCGGGGAAGTTGCGAGTCATAGATGACGCTGCCGACGGAGGGCAGAGCGCACTCAGCTCGGATGCGAACAAGTTGGATCTATGTACGAGCATTCAACCTGGCCTTCATGTTCAACTGCTCTGGCAGGCAGCATCCTCGTCGATTCACGTGTCTGAGTTGTTGCAAGCTGGTATTTGGTCCGGGGGCGAAGACCTACCCAACGCCTACCGCTATGTCCCCATGAAGCCGACACATGGCAACATGGCCGTGGTGGCATACTACGACCACCACGTGGGTGGCCCCCGTTTTCGACAATACTACGGTTCTCTGTTCGGGTTACCAAATGCTGTGTGTTCGTTCAATCGATTTCCCCGGTTCTTTCAAGCTGCCTGCCGCCGCCTGGCCTATTGTATGACCAGTATGTACTTTGATGACCTGACAATCCAGGACTTCGGTATCATGGGCGGCACTGGCCAGGCATTCGTTAATGACCTGGCACGATGCCTTGGCTCACCCTTCCAAACAGAGAAACATCAGTCCTTGGCGGCTCAGTCTGATTTTCTGGGGCTGATCCATGACGTGGCTGCCTGCCACCGGGGTGATCCTGTCAAGTTCTGGGTCCGGGACCGATTGCTCACCAAGGTCACCGACATCATGGAGGAGGCCACTCAGACGCGTCGCCTCCCTCCGGGACTGGCGGCAAAGCTCTTTGGCTGCCTGGGCTTCTTGACGACGGGATGCTTCGGCAAGCTCGGCCGGTCGGGCCTCCATAGCATCAAGGAAAGACAATACTCCTCGCAAGTCGTGATGACACCGGAGATTGAACAGTCCTTTGCTAGAATTCGAGCTCTACTTCAGTTGAAGCCTGAAAGAGAATTACCGCTCAATCCAGTACGGCAACACCGATACTTGGCAGCGTCCGATGCAGCGCAAGATAGGCCCCGCGAGGGCTCTGCGGGAGTCTTGTTCATTGACCCCCGTGGTAACCGAAGGGCCTATGTCGTCCACATCAGCCCAAAGATCTTCACGGTGTGGTCCCATCATGAGGCCAAGATTGCACAGCTTGAGCTCTTGACAGTCTACATGGGCCTGGCATATAATGCCTCATCAGTTCGCGGAATGCATGGTATATGGTTTGTTGACAATATCGCTGCCCTCATGGCTCTCATACGAGGCCGCAGCAACAACGATGAGCTGGATTCTATGGCCGGAGCCATCCATGGCCTTCTGTTTGCACTCCGTAGTGCATGCTACTTTGAATGGGTCCAGAGTAAGGACAACTGGTCAGACGGCATCAGCAGACAGGGAGAACACGACCCGTGGTTCCAACAACATGGTTTTCGTCTCTTCCACACCTACCCCTTGCTCATGCTCCTCCAGCTGCCCTACCACCTCATCGCTCAGGTCTTTCAGTTCGTTTGAGTGCTTTGGATAAGTTAGTGCCTTGGATGGAGTGCTCCCACAGGGAGAGTGTCAGATGTCAGATGACACAAGCGACGTGGGTCGCATTTCGAACCAAAGCACTTTAGTACAGACAGTACAGACCTGAATCGATTCGCAGAAAAGGGTAGCAGCAGTCGACATATGTTGAGCGAGATTCATCGAATATATTCAATCATTTAAGGTAGGCAGGGTCGGTGATGATGAATTATTTGGGAAGCTTCGAATCAACGTCTCCCAATGTTTGAATGCTCAAGCCAAACTGGGGGGACGCCCCTTGAGGAGCAGTGTCGCTGCTGGTACCTCAAGCTAAACTTTTTCTCCCACCCTGCCACACCCTGTTAGTTACGTTCATGTCCACCTGGTGCTAGTCGAGCTGGTGGCTGACTTGGCTTGTTGCCGGAAGAGTCTGGTTACCTGGTGATAGTCGCTTCACCTGTGGCCTTGCTGGTGCTTGATGGCCGTATTCCGGGATACTTTCAGTTACCACGGCTATGCTTGTGACGCTTGCAGCCTGGGCTGCCAGCCACATGAGATGGGGACTGTGCTGTCTGCCGCTGTCGTCCGGTTGCCTTTTTCCGGCTGCCCGCCGCCTAGCCATCATACCTGTTCTGTCGGTCCCAGGTATTGATGATGACTAGAGAGTTTCATTTAATCTTTTCATCGCTCTGTCCAGAGCTGGCATCCGTTGTGGCCGTAGGACCGCCCCTGCGGTATCCTCTCGGTCACTACATACGGATGGAGTGCTCCCACAGGGAGAGTGTCAGATGTCAGATGACACAAGCGACGTGGGTCGCATTTCGAACCAAAGCACTTTAGTACAGACAGTACAGACCTGAATCGACTCGCAGAAAAGGGTAGCAGCAGTCGACATATGTTGAGCGAGACTCATCGAATATATAACAATATAGTATAACCAATACATACATATGATATATTACAATATATTACAATATATAATATGCCAATGTGGTGGTGCAACAATTTTGGTGGAACACATTTAGTTTCTGACCCGCATGTCCTGCGAGGTGGTCGTCCTACATGAGATGGCGCATGTCCTTCTGATCGGCTTCTGGGACCTGCTGTCCACCGCCGCTCAGTGTGATTTGACCGATTTCTTCACGGATGCTTACTTGGACGGTGGAGGCACCAAGAAACGTGAAAAAGCAACACAAACGTGGGTCCGAAGGATGTACAGCAGATTCTACAGCAGATGCAGCGCTATTCGGATGTCTTTCCAAATTCGGGTTGACCAACTAGAAATTCAGTGCTACAAGTGTTTTTGGATGGAGGGCCCTAAGCTGCCCTGGGCTTGTCATCCGCCACTGGTCATCTCCATCGGAACTTGATGCCAAGGACGGGCACATCGGGTGCGTCTAGGAAGGAACCCCCTTGCCTTTGACACCTCACTTCACATACATTTTGGTCCCAGGGAGGGTTGGACCAACGAGATGCTACGTGACGAACAGAGCTGTTCTTGGCTGTGACAGTACCAAAATGCCCAAGAATTCCTGCCAAGTGCCCCCCCCAGCCCGACCGTTTGAGAGGCAAAGCTGCGATGGCCCACTACATCCTTTCCGAGCAATGGAAGAAGGCGCGCAAGACACCCTTGCAACTCTACCGGACGCCCGGTTTGGCAGAACCTGGCAGCGATTGCGGCCATTGGGATGAAGATACTGTCGACAATGAGCTCATGTCGCCGGTTATCAATGTTGACTCCAACCCCTTGAGCATCCTCACAGCAGGACCGGAAGCTTCCGGATGTCTCGGACCGGAGCCACCGGAGCTTGTCTCTCTGGGCCCCCTCCGTTCAGTTTATCGTGGTACCGTGGAGCTCCATGGGGGGTGTTCTCCAGGTGGTTTTCTTGTTTGAAGTTTGCTCGGGTGTCGTAGTGGGGAAGAGAGACAAACGGTGACAAACGTGGGGAAGTTCGCGAGTGTCATTGATGCAAATTCTCACGTGTGTGTTGTGTGTAGGGAGCTGGGATACTGTGAATTCTTTGCAAGCCCAGACCAGAGCTTCCATGTTGTTGGACAGTCTTGGGTGGTGGAACGACTGGCATGAACTACTGTTTCCTGGCAACTGATGTCAAGAAGATATATAATACAAGAGAAAGACATCCCTGTGACATGAGTTAAAACAGGGGGTGTGTTATAAGATCAAATTTTAACTTTTTCATGGGTCATTTCTGAACGGTGACACCAAAATGACTTGAATATGAAAGGACGCCTTGAGATGATGAACCACCCGTTTCATCCAGGTTCGAACACAATGCGCAACAACGATCATCAATTAACGCATATTACGCACACTTGAACGCAGGAAACAATTGATTGTATATAAGATTATATAAGTATTGTGTTCTGGAAATTTTGGATGTCCTTCTTATTACTTATATGCTATAAATATCTTTGGATCAGGAACCCCTGCATAAAGGGTCACAATTTTAATTTGAACACACCCCAAAAGCACAAGACCAGCAAATCAATGCAAGCAAGCGATTTGATCCGTCAGCTTGTGAAGCATCGTAGCAGGGGTTCGGATGCTTTCACATGTTTTTTTTGCGCAGCCACTGTTCCAAATAAAAAGTGTGTTTGGGAAAGTCTTCTCGGCATTGGAGTCATTCTATTTGAAATCGTTTTGCGCAGCAGGAGAATAGCCAGGCAACTCCCCAAACATCCCAAAACCGATTTTAAAGAAATCTCGTCAAATAAGGAAACACATCTCTTAACAAATAGAAATAGCCAGTGTATGCTTGGATTTGTCGGTTTCTGTTGTTTGCCTGTTTTGTTTTTTTGTATGTGATATGTTTTCTAGTCGAAAGTTAGGTTACTTCGACAGCCTCAGGTGCAAGGTGCTTACCCGTCCAGAAGTCTCAATATAGTCTTTGATTTTTTCATCATTCCCTTGAATGCTGCAGTCTTAGAATCTTTCTTGTAACTTCAGAGTTCGCGAACAGGTGTCGCGGTGTCCCCTCTTGATTTGCCCGAAGTCAAACGACATCAACATTTTTGCGTAATGTGTTTAGGATTCATTGCCCAGGCTTCAGAAAGTAAGACCTGAACCATCATCACTGCAAAGAGGTCAAAACAAAAGCTCATGCAGATACAAAATGCTCGATAAATCACCTTGACTTATGTCAACATCCACTAAAGAATCATAAAGCCAATTACATATAGTCTACCTTTGAAACATGTAGAATCTTTATTGGGATTTGAGGTGTGGGTCATGCTACCAGAAAACCATAGAAAACCTGGCAGAACAATAACGTGACTCAACCTTGGAACACACTCCTGACGCACCCGCAAAGCCCTACGGAAGTGGTGGGGGGTGGTTTCGTTACAGAAGTTTTGGGGATCGGAGGGATTTCTTGCTATACTAAGTTTAAGTTTTGAAGGGGTTTGTGTAGGTGTAGCAAGTTTGAGGTAACCTTTGCTTATCAGCCTTAACAGCCCTTCGTTTGTCAGGCACATCGTGGCACATCGTGGCACGAAGCTGCAACAGGAATCGATTCTTAAGGTTTGTCTATTTGGAGTGCCGATCCAAGCGTAGCTTTGTTTCGGGTGAGCTCTTCTTCATTGGGGGCTACCATGTGCAATGCGATCTTAGGCGATTGTTGATGGCTTTTCAAGAACGGAATTTCAAAACGATCATTGCCTTTCCGAAAACGACGATGTTTGATTTTTTTGAAAAACATATATATATATATATGTATATGTACACGTGTATGTATATAGAAAAAGCACGCAATATAGAAAAATAAGCTCAATGGAGTTACTGAACTTCTCGTGGAGACTGGTCAACAATCAATGAACTATTAACAGCAAAGAGTTGCAAACAACAGAAGCCAACAAATCCAAGCATACACTGGCTATTCCTATTTGTTGAGAGATGTGTTTCCTTATTTGATGGCTATTCTCCTGCTGCGCAAAAAGATTTCAAGTAGAATGACTCCAATGCCAAGAAGACTTTCCCAAACACACTTTTAATTGGAACAGTGGCTGCGCAAAAAAAACATGTGAAAGCATCCGAACCCCTGCTACGATGCTTCACAAGCTGACGGATCAAATCGCTTGCTTGCATTGATTTGCTGGTCTTGTGCTTTTGGGGTGTGTTGTTGGGTATATAGTTGCGCGTCAGAAGACCGTGTGTTCTCGATATGCGGGGTCTGAGGTCAAAAGTCGGCGCCCAAGAAAGATTGTTTCTGGAAAATTCATCCAAAAAGGCAGGTCAAAAAGTTAAGAAAAAACTGAGTTCAAAAGTTGCGGTCATGTTGAGTTGTGTGTGTTTTTTGCTTTTAATATTTCATCCAAACATTTGTCGATGCCAGTTTGGGACTTAGGAGATTGTTGTTCCCGACAGCAAACAGTATATACATATTCATTGAAAACAGGACATCCAATGGTCCAAGACCAAAGGCATACAGTTGACATATTTGTCATGTTTTTATTCATTGTTCACAAGTTTTTTAATTCCAACATGATCCCCACGATGCTGAACCAACATGCGACCTATGTGCGACCTAATCGCTAGGCCTTGGCGAGAATCTTCCTTCACTCCCGGATCATATAAATGCTTTTTAGGCGTCAAGTAACAAGGCATGGTGATGGAGATGTGAATCCACAAGACACACTCTGTAGATGTCCTGTACAACCTTTTCCTCAACAACTCTGTTTTGCCTCCAAAGATTGTTTGAGCAGCTGATTCTTAGACCGGACTTTCAACGTCTAAGACGCTTCAAAAGGCTCACAACATGAACAACATATTTCATTGGTTGCCTTGTCAGCTTCGCAAGTCGTGCAATCAATTGATGCATCAGAATATATAAGTGCTTTCCACGAATTGATGGAAGCCTTTACGATGATTCTACCGATTTGGATCCCAAATTCCATGCGGCCACATCCAAATCCAAATCAGCAAAAGTGAGCCCCAGGAGGCTTGGAAGATATGGGCTACACCATCGACTACAAGGAGTGTGAGGTCTGGCCCGACAGCAATACAGACTCCTCGGTCTACACCTTCTTCCCCGGGAACAATAATGCGGTTTTGGATGGAGGGCGCCCTTGACCGGTTTCAACGCGCGCGGGCTCTTCTGTTTCTATTCTTTCCCCCCAACAGGGATTTGTAGTGTGCAATCACTGTCTCAAGATTTATAGTTTGTCATTTTCTTTGTTTTATCCACCAAATTCCACTGGGCATGTTTTTTCTTTTTTAAATCAGATTTTGCCCGTGAATCCACAGATGAGACTCCGCCCTTGCCTCGCGAAATCTCAAGCGCGGAGGTTTTGTTTCAGCGCGGAGGTTAATGGGTCTTGGATTGTTTATGGTGGGTACACGGGAAATCGTCGCATGTCACTAAGGCTTCACTGTTAGAAAGCCTTGCACGGCGTGGAAAAAAACATAGCGGATGGACTAAATCGTGTGGTTTCAGAGTAGAGATGGCGCAAGTGACCCCCAGTTTGGTGGTTTATGTGAACCCCTGAACATAAAAATGTCAAAACACGGGGTGCCGATCGTGCCATGGAACCTCTGAAACTGCTGTTGTTTCTGGTCGTTTCTTGCTTGTTTCTGCTCGGGCCACTCCGCTCGGGTTTCAGCGACTGCTTGACCCGAGCGGCGAGGGGCGACCGCGTGGAGGGGGGGCGCGCCCCCCACGCGCGCGTGGTCAGACACGTCTGAGGAAGGTGAAGAAGAAGCAGCGGAAGCTGACAGACCTGGTGGACTATGAGCTGAAGCGTCCCGACTTGAAATTCTTGGACGGACCCAAGGGTAAGGTGATCACCACGCTTCCCGGCGAGCTCACACCCGCACAAGTGCTCAAGACCAAGAAGGAGGGGTGAAGAGGGAGGGCATGGTGCGAGCTGTGGGGATCGGTGGGGTGTTCTGGTGAAGCCAAGTGCTGAAACCAGGGTGTAGCTGGAAGTTGGCTTAAGAACCGAACTTCAAGACCAATGGATCAGCCAGACCACAAAAAGCGCCATGAAACGGAGAAGGACCACAGGACCAGTGTGCATGGATTGAGGCATCGGATCGGTATGAACTTCTCCAAGCCATTGGGTGAAGTATTGAAGCGCAATCACTCCAAGAGAAGGAGTTGCACTGAATTGGTCCCTTTGAGGTGATGATCCAACTGTTCACTGTTCCTTTTTGGGGAGGTCAGAACTCAGGTCCCTTGTCCCATCCTGATCCCAGCTTTTGTCTCTTTGCGAATGCCTTGTGTATGCTTTATGTTTTGTATGACGGTCAATGTTCAAAGAAACCTTTACTGGTTGAGCCACAGGATGAGCCACAGGATCTTGATGAGCCATGGGATCTTCATTCAGTTTTAGGTTCATGAATCAAGATCCATGACCACGGCAGTCGAGAAAAGAATATCCGGATGGATTCTCCCTCCACACAACGCGACGATTTCGAGTCGCGTTTTTTTTGCCCAAACAAGCTGGTGGGTCGCGCGTTGGATGAAGCGGATGACAAACATATTGACTTAGCAGAACAAGGTTCATTGAACATTTGGCGCGATTTGTTTGTTGATACTTGAGCGTCATTAATTACATCGGCGCACTATATTTTTGATGTAAAGAACTCCACGTCCCACCACTCCAGTCAGCAACGCGGAAGAAGGGGTGCTCAAGGCACTCAACAACATCAACAAACCACCAAAATCAAACAAAAAGACAAATCAACTCACCAACCAACAAACCAACCAACCGAACCAAACCAAACCAGACCAGCAGACCAGACCAGATCAGACCAACCAACCCAACCCAACCCAACCCAACCAAACCAAACATCAACCAACCAACCCAACCCAAACTAACACAACCAAACAACAACAAGAAGGATCATCACTGCGCCCTTCAGGACCTGCAGGAGTTCCTGAAAAAGAAGTATCCCTTGCCAGAGAAGATGATCAAGAAATAGAAGCTTTGCAGCCGAGGCGAGCGGCTCAGCTGCCGGGGTTGGCGTAACCCAATAGGTCATAGGTCAGGCTTGAGGCCTGCGTGGCCTGCCTTCAATCGGTCCGGGCATGATCGCACAGGGCTTCGGTGGTCTAATTCCACAGAGAACTGGTTCACCAAGATGACCAACACGAGAGATCGCTGACGAACCCATTCGGAGGTGGATGACCCAAGGACCATTTGATGGGGGTTTTCTATAATTGCAAGCAAGAATAGTTCCCAACAACAATTGCTATCTCATTGCGTCCCTCTAATCATATTGTGCATTGGTCCCGGATGATTGGGCGATGTTTTGTTGGGCAGACCAGTCGTTTTCCTACATACCTGTACCACCAGGCTGTCCTCAGCATTCCTGTGGACCCTCATCCATTTACCTCTTCCGAGCCAGTTGAGAAGGGAAGTCAGAAAAAAAGGGCCAGGAGCATCCAAGAGCGCAAAGCCGCTAAGACGCTGAAGTCCTATAACCTATAACCTGCGACTTTTTTCCGCCTCCGACTCTTACTCCCTATCGGTCAAACAGCTTTTCCCACCTGCCGAGCTCCGCGACTTCTCCAAGAAGACCCCGGCGTTTTGGCAAGTTGGGGAAGTGAATGGAAGTGACTCCATAGATGTTTGTAAGCAAAGAAGGACATTCCGCGCCGATTTCACACCGGACTTCCAGTCCTCTGGTCACCTGCCGAATCTCTGCTTCGGTCGCAGGAGATGCGAGAGGATCTGTGACCGCCATGATCTGGCCATATAAGACACCTGGACCCTCGGTCCCTAGAGAGAATGGCTGAAGTCCCAGAAGAGTCTAGACTTTGGCATCAGATTTGGACAGCTAGAAGTTGATTTGGGGGACTGAAGACTACGTCATCTCGAGAGATGAGACGAACTGCATTGAACTGCTTAGGCTTTAGGACAGAGAGAACATACTCATCGACTCATCAGCATGGTACAGCCATTGTCATCGCGGTTCCAGGCATGGCCCCTCCGCACAGTTTGGCTTAGGATCTCATTGTTAGTTTATTTTGAACCTTTAGTGACATTCGCGGGCAGACGTTGTGCCTGGCACATCTATCACGTGGCGTTTGTGCCAAGAGTCCCTTCTCTCTGTGCCTTGAGACATCTCCAACGAAAAGTCTTGCCGCGTTTCCACAAACCACACAATGTGAAGATCTGTGAAGACTCTCTGTGGGAGAACGCATATTTTTCAATGTACGGGCCCAATAGACAAGCTGTCAAAAGTCGAAACAGGCAGGTCGCGTTTTCCTTGGCCACCGACTGCGCGAATCCCCACCTCCCTTTCATCAGGGGTACTCACACACTCACACAAGCGCACCTCCCCTGTTCGTCACAAGCCTCTTCGGGCAGGGGTGGTACGCAGTTGCAGTGGGTTGATTAACTCCAAAACGACCAACGCACCTCTTGTTCTCCTTCATACTTTATCGTGCGAAAGCCATGCTTTTCATGTAATCACTGGCCTTGTGGAGGCGAAGAGGGCCCTGTTGCACAGCATAGCACAGTTACTGTATGTTGCCGCCTGACCTAACGAACCCCAAGAAGCCAGGATGGTGTTTCCAGCCAGGGACGTATCCCAAGAAGAATTGACACATCATTCAGCCAATGGGACCTGTTTTGGGACCTTTGCGGCCAACAGGCACATTTTCCTGGGGGTTTTCGCGAACATGTTTTCGCAACCGTCTGAACCAAACTGCGTGTTTTCGCACTCGAAAGCTGCGAATGTCATGGACTGCACTGCCGAGACGGACGAGACTGGACGCCCAGTGACGCAACTCACGGACGGCTGACTGTCACATGAATGGTCATGCCCAGTGAGCGAAATGTGCGTCGCGATAACTGCGCCGGAAGAAGAACACCTGCGGAGAAGAGCCAGCAGGTGTGACATGGTTGTTTGGTGGAGAGGTGGTTGTTTTGGATCGGCCATCTAGAAGCAGTTGTTGAGTTTTTGTGGTTGTTGTTTTTGTATGTTTTTTTCAATTCTATCCTCCAACTATGTATACAATGTAATGTTCACATTGATTGGCTTCGACGGTGGCTTTGTTGAGGAAGCTATTGGAAAGTCGTTGGGAGGCCATAGTGGTGCAAATCAAGACAATCAACTACAGGATTTCTTAGTGGACTCCAGTGCATAACCTCTAAGTTGGAACACCAACCACCCCAACCACCCAAAATGTGGTCTTTTCCTCTCAAAGTAGGGTGCGAATGGGTTCTAGGTAACTGTATACACATTTTTTCAGGGGTGTGTGTTGTATGCTACTACAAGGCTGATCAGATTCAACCCTTCTTTCCAGAGAATCAAGAAATTCTTTGCTGCTCGGCTTATAGACTTGAACTCAACACACTTGTTCTTCAAAGCACACCGATGCAACTCCTTCGCTCCGACTCCGTGCTGTTCACAACACCTAGTCGCGTTGGACGACTTGGAGAGTGCTCGAGCTACGACTGATCCCCTTGACCGATCGACGGTTCGCCGCTATCGGGGGCACCATGCACCGCTAGGGCGCCCCGATGTGCCGGGCAGAGATGTGACTGTGACGGCCGAGCAGAGATGTGGAGGACAGGGCATTCGGCTGGTCGAATGGTTTGGCATACAATTCCAAATCATCCACCCCCGTCGATGTCATCAATGTGTTTTATCATATTTTTCTTCCGACGTGGTATGCGATGAAACTTGAATGGCCCAATCCATCGAGGAGACCCCGGAGGAATTGAAATTGATAAATATATGATGATGGGATTGAAATATAATAAATAATCGGATATACGTCGTTTTATATTATCTATATTGTTTTGTATATAATAATTTTGAATTTTGAATTGGATGCTTTTGAATAATATATGGGTATTTATTTTGGATTTTTATTAATTAATTATGTTATTTACATTATATAGAACGATTAAATGAATTATTTGATTCTTTAATGATATTTTATGGACATATTGACGAAATTGATTATTTTAATTGATATTTTAATCTATTTTACGAAATATATATATATATATATTTGCGATTTTAAATATATTATTATATATATATATAATTTTTTATTTGGATTTGATTTAGATTATTTATTATATTGTATTTCGACATTGATTATTTTTATATTATGATGATTATTGTATTTGATAATGGATATTTTAAAATAAGAATTTATGAAAAGATATAATATTTTATTGGATTTTTATTTGTTGATAACGATTATTTATATTTAATTCGATTATTTTAATTGTATTTTATTTATATATATGAATATAACGAAAGGTCGTTTGATAAGGATGATTTTGAATTTATATTTCGAAGAAAAGGAAATGGTTTGAAAATTTGTTTGGAATTAAAAATGATTGTTTAATATTTTATATTGTTTTTTGTTTGTAATGATTTATTAATAAATGAATTTATTAATTCTTTTTTTTCGTTTTTTTTTTTTTTTGCGAATATTAAAATATTATTTTATAAAATGAATTGGGTTTAAATGGGAATTTATATAGATTTGATGATATTCGAAATTTTAAGATTTAAGATTTCGTCGTATAGGAGGAAAGGAAGCGGGGTTGCGTTCGTCCGCACGCTTATTAGATAGCGGAACCGATTTAGGCGGACTCAATAAATATATTCCGGGAGAAGAAGAAAAAGATTTAAAGAAATGAAGAAATTTGTTAGTTGTTTTATCGTTCGATTCTTTGTATTTTCGATGCTTGTTGGTTTCTAGACGTCGGTATCCGTCTCCTTCTGATGCATGCGTATGTGGTGGAAATGACGTTGAGTTAGGTTTTTTCGTGGGTCTTCCGGATTCTAACAGTGGTGACCGGAGCACTGGATGCTTAGTTTAGGGATAAGCGAGGATCCTGAGGCTCGCGAGGACATTACGGAGACAGAGTAGCAGGGGACGGTCACGATATTTGGGGGCAAAGGCGAATAGAAGACATGGACCGATGCCGAGTGGGATGAATGGAACTGGAAGTGGTACCGGGGTTCGAGCTGGAATTATAGCTCGTGGTACTCCAATGGGGAGAAGGCACAAGGTGGAGAGGCGTCTGGGGCAACGGCATCCACCTTATCGCCGTCGGATCCTTGGCAACGACTAGGTGCAGATCCATGGTCCAGGAAGACGTTAGCCTCAGGAGAGCATAGGCCGCAAGGCAGTTGGTGGAACGGTGGATATCACTCCAAAGGAGATTACAATGATCCTCCGATGGTCCAACTATAGGTTTTGGCGCAGAGCATTGCTGAGGTGGAACACCAATCCCGACGTGACGATCTGGCGTAGGGCTGAGAAGGTGCTCAAGATTTTGGATTGGGATCTTGAAGCCAAGTTGGATTACGTGTCGGAAGCGACGCTAGCAAGCCCAGCCTACATCACGGAGGTCTTGGGCGTTTTGGATGTTCTGGCCGGAGAAAAAGAGGATTCTGAGAGAAGAAGGGCAGTGCGAGCCGCACTGTTCGAGGGCAACAGAAAGAACGATGAGAGCTTGGCGTAATATGCCCTGAGGAGGGAATCTTAGTTCGAAATTGCCGGCAGGTTTTTGAGCATCCCCGAGGAGATTAAAGGCATTTTGCTGGAAAAGCAGTTAGGACTCTCCAGGCAGAGCATGCAGAGTCTTAGGGTGTTGACCAAGGGACAACATTCCTACTCCGAGGTGAAGAAAGTTCTGCAGGTTCTGGACCTTGACGAAGAGAGCATCATCAAGCCGGGGAAGGTCAGCTACTATGGAGACCTCACGGAAAACGAGGACACAGACTCCGAGGTCGATGACGAGGTGATCTTCAATGCCCTTGAGTACAACGAGGTGCGAGAAGAGGAAGCCGTGTCGTTAATGGCTGATCTTCAACAAGATCGACGGCGAACGTGGAAAGAAAACAAGCTGCTGAAGGCCGCCAGAAAGAAAGACCGTAGACACTTTGACGACAAGTCCTCGAGGCCGTCTAAGCCTTTTCACAAGAGACGGTTGTCGACCGAAGAGATCAAGAAGGTGACTTTCTGTGGCAACTGCGGTAAGAAGGGTCATTGGAGAGAAGATTGCACCGAGCCCAGCAAGGATGGTTCCAGAGCGTCCAGAGACAAGAATCCCAAGGTGTCAGCCTTTGCCTAATTTGGTCACTCGGACGAAGCCAGTCGTTCGAGTCCCTCATTCCTCGTGAACTATGGCAGCTTTCAGGCGACGGATCAGGCATGTTTCCTGGAGCTGTCTCCCGGGGAAACCATAATCGATCCTGGTGCTTCACAGGATCTGGTGGGACTTCGCAGCTTTGAGAAGCTCCAGGCCAAGCTGAAGGAGAATGGCTTGAAGACGATCAAACTGCAAGAAACGCCCTCGAAGGCGTCGGGAGTGGGAGGAGCTGCCATGACCCTGTTCATGGCGCTTGCACCCTGCATCCTGGGGGGGGCAACCAGGTGTTATCAAGCTCACCGTTGTGGAAGACGACATTCCTCAGCTGCTGTCCATCGGCCTTTTGGAACATGGACATGCGGTGATTGACACCAAAGAGGACAAGATCCATTTTAAGCGGTTTGACACCATGGCCAAGATGTGGCGCCTCCCTTCGGGTCATCGAACACTGGCTGTAGCAGAGTGGGATGGTAGTGATTTTCCAGTGCCTCCGCAAGTGACGGAGAAGTATGGCCTGCCAGCAGGTGCTTGCAACCTGCACTCGAGCGATCGTGAGGTATACATGACGAGCGTGTCCGATGCAGAATTTTATCAATTCTTTTGTCTAGCAGGTGTAAGCAAGCCACAGGTACGTCAGGCTAAAGCCGTGAGATCCAATTTGCTTGGTAATTTCTTTCTGTTTCCCGCTTTTTCAGATTTTGCAGAACATTGGAACTTCCGCACCTCATGGATCACGCTGGGAGAGAGAGCATGTCTTCTTGAACGAAACGCGAAACGACACGACACTTCAGACGCTTCTTTTTTGAGCAGAGAGTTTGAAGTCACTGACTGTCAGCTAGATTTCACGAAGCAACATTGGTCTGAGTCTGAAATCATTTCTCTTTTTTCACGTGAAGAGATTCATTTGTCAGTGCACGACGCATTTATCACCTGTCTTGACACGGATCGTTCCCTCGTCGCCTCTAGCAAGCTTGAAACGACACTCCGCGAAGACGACAAACGAGCCCAATACTTGATCCCAAGCTATCGAAATGGCGATGCAGGGCGTGCTCAACACCCGTGTGAAGAAATCAAGGATCCGCTCAGAGCAGGATCGGGAAACTTTGGAGAATCACTGGTTTCACTTCACGAGAAAGCTGCTCATGGTAAACGGCGGTCCAGCCGCACTGAGGAATTTGAACAAGAGCGCATACCCCGGGGACTTCACCACGTCTCGTCCGGGACCCTCACAGGGAATGATTCCCTCTTCGGACAAGGTGCAGCAGGCTTGCACCCATCCGAAAGAATACCAGACGAGGGGAGCCAATCAACACGGCACCTGGACCCGATGCAGTCTGTGTCAAACCAAAACGGGCTATCAGAAATATGGTCCGGACAACCCACCTCCGGCGGCCAGAAAGACGAAGGGTGCCGTGGTCGAGACCTATGTGGCCTCGGAAGCAATGGGCACCACCAGGGTGCCGATGGGGGCGAGCAGTTCAGAATCTCCTCAGCCCCTCACGCCAGACTTGGAGACGGCTTTCAGAGGACAGAATCAACAGCTCGCGCAGAGCACGGCGGCGGTGATGGCCCAAGTGATGACGCCAGTGGTGGAGGGATTTCATCAAGCCCTTCGCTACCAAGCGGAAGAATCCCAGAGAGCTCAGGAAAGGCAGGAGACTCAGATGCAGCAATCCTTTCTGGCCCTTCAGAGGATTATGCAGCAGACGGATCCAGCTCGCCAGCCAGGGGCTGCCTTTCCTGCCCTTCCTCCGGAGGAATTGCATCGTCTTCTAGCTCAGGGATTTGCGATGGCCAATCATCATCCGCTGCCGGAAGACGAGGAATGGGATGCTGCGCAGCGGGAGCCTCCTCAGGGGGGCATGGGACGCTGAGAGACGTAGAAGCCGCTGATAGTTTCACATCGTCATCGTCCGAGGATGGAACCTTTAAGTGTACAGATTCCAGCTCTATGCAATGGATGGTAGTGTCTCGAAATGAGACGTCAAGACGATTCTTAAGCCAAAGGGAGAATCTTGTTTGCTTCACTGGAGTGCAGAGGGCTTTAGGAGGCGAGACTCGTGAAGTGTTTGTTTTCTTCGATGAGGAGTTAATTGATGAGGTGATTTGTAGTGAATTTCCCGAAGGCAGAGAATCTCACCTTTCTAAGCGGCAGAAGAGAGCACTGTTGAATTCAAAAGAGAGTCTTTCGAAATCCCCCGAATTCAGTGATGAGCCAAAGAGCTCTGTGGTAGAAGTGAACCAAGAGTGGTCACAAGAACAAAACGCAGAGCCGGAGAGCCTTTCAAGAAATGAAGAAGAGCCTGATGGCCAGTCAAGAACAAAGAAAGAGCCTGTGAGCCAATCAAGACAAGCTAGAGAAACTGTTCGCCGCCTGGCAGAACAAAAGTGTCTCACTCGACCCGTTCGCTTCGATCGAAACGTCACACCTAGCTCGCAAGAGCTTAGCGCCCTGGGGGTAGTCAACGTTCGAAAGTGTCGCCATGGAGATTTGGAGAAGAGAACGACCTCGGGTCTCAAAGTGATGGAACTTTTCTCTCCTCCAAGAATCACACAGGAAGCAGCTCAAGCAGGACTTCAAGTCACTGAGCCATCCAACTTCGACTTGAAGCTAGGCTGGAACGCACTGTGTCCAGAAGATCGAAAGAAGATGTGGAAGACCATTGAAGAACAAGAGCCAGATGTCATCCTCATGAGTCCCGACTGCAAGATGTTCAGTCAGCTGATGAATGTGAACTTGAAGCGCATTCCAGTCGAGAGGCCCACTCGTCAGCAGATGGAGGCTCTGGTGATGTGGCATCTTTGTTTGCAGGTGGCCGAACACCAGATGAAGAAAGGTCGCTATTTCATCCTGGAGCAGCCGGCTGGAGCTTCATCCTGGTCGACGCACGGAAGCAAGTGGCTGATGGAGAATGAAGAGGTCCTTTTCTTTTTCTTTGACCAGTGTGAGCTAGGACTTCAGGTGAGCCCAGAGGGTCTTTCGCGAAAGACGACCGCCCTGGCCACGAACCATTTGGGAGTGGCAGCAGTCATGTCGCAGTACCAGTGCCGGAAATCGCATGAGCATGTTCGACTGGAAAATGGGCTTCCAAAGAAGGCTCAAATATATCCCTCAGACATGGTCAGGTCATTGATTCAGGGTATTCTCCTGGGTACCAGTGAATTCGTTGGCGCCACTCACGTCGACGATGTGATAGATGAGGACGAGGCAGAACAAGAAGGAGTTGAACGACAACCTCGCACTCCTGGCACTCTTCAGAGAGATCTCTCCGATCAACTGACGGAAGAACAAAGAAGAAGATCACGCTTATGCATCTCAACATGGGACACTTGAGCAAAGATTAGATGCTAGCTATGCTCAAGGCAGCCGGTGCTAAAGAGGGTGTTCTCAGATACGTCAAAGACGAGTTCAGGTGCGAGCATTGCATGAGACAAAGGAAACCAGTGGAGCGTCGACATGCTGCTTTGCCACGCACGTTTTCATTCAACAGAATAGTAGCTCTGGATTACTTTTTCCTGTCCTTTTCCAATCGGACGTTCGCCTTCCTGAACGCAATTTGTCACGGCACCAATTTTCAACAGGTGGGTCTGCTACGGAACTATGAAGGTGGTGTTTCCTCCTCCTCAGAAACATGGACTTTGTTCAACCGTGTTTGGATTCAACCGTTTGGCCTTCCGGAAACAATAGTGTGTGATGGAGGCTCAGAGTTCAAGCAATCATTTGAACGATCAGTCGAACAGCATGGAATACTCCAGATCATCACAGACGCAGCCTCATGGCAGAACGGAAAAGTTGAGCGCCACGGAGGATGGGTTAAGGAGAGAGCTGATCTAGAGATCAACTCAGGTCAAACTACGCTCATTGAAAGTTCTGACTTGGAAGAACTGGTTCTCTCCATAGTGGCCTGCAAAAACAGATGGTTCTCGAGAAGCGGGTATAGTCCATGTCAACTTGTTTTTGGGGCAAATCCACGTGTGCCAGCAGAGTTGCTATCAGATGACACGCTGCAAGAGATAGGATGGCAGGAGATTGAGACCGACCCTTTTGACCAAGACACTGCCGCAGCAGCCTACAATCGATCACATCAAATTCGACAAAGAGCCAGACAACTCTGTGTGGAGGCGTCATGTCGGGAGAAGATTCGTCTGAGCTCCACTCATAGAGCTCACAAACAAAGACAGTGGGCGATCGGACAATGGGTGTTCGTGTGGCGAAAATTTCCCGGCACGGGGCAAGGGCATTTGACTAGAGCTAGGTGGACAGGACCAGGCATAGTGGTTTTGCAAGCTGGACACACGGTGTGGGTGTCCATGCGAGCTCGACTTTGGAAGTGCAATTCAGATCAACTCCGACCAGCGTCGCACTTCGAGTCCATAGGAGCAGAGATGGCTCGCTCGGGTGAACTTCAGGAGCTCGTGAAGCAAGGCAGACCTAGTAAAGCTGGTGCTGTGGATGTGACTTCAGAAGGAACTCCTCCTCCTGATGAAGAACAACAACTAGTACCAGCAACAGAAGTGGCACAGCCTTTGATACATGAGACGATCAGAGCAGATGACAACTCAGAACCAAACAACAATCATAAAGGAGAAGGACAAGAACACGTCCCCTTGAGAGAGATTCGGGTGCCAGCACCCGTGGTAGCCGACGAGGATGCGGATTCCGTGACCATCGACTCGGTCAGTGACAAGACTCTCTCAAGCAAGAGAAAATCAGAAGCACCCAGAGGTGATGACAGTCAGAACAAGAAGAAAATGATAGAAGAAGACAGGGACAAGAAGAAGAAACCAACGGGGCAGAAGAGGACAGTCGTCGACACAGATCAAGAACGACTGGAAAAGATCGCCATGCAGACCATGAGAAGACTGGATAGAGAAGAGAAGATTCGGAGGTTGCACGACAAAGGAGAGAGCGCCCGATGTCTCGACTTCGAGCGCTTCGGCATCATCAATTCCTTCCGGTTCAGCATCCTCAACAAGACCAGATCTAGACAGAATTCAGGAAGAAGAAGACGACAAGGAAACCTCCGAGCAGAAAGAAGAGCTCATGAGCCACATGTCTGAGGCCGGCATTGATTTCTTCGAGATTTCCGGTTCTGAAGCTTGTCTCATGGCCAAGCCTTACAAGAGCAAATCTCAAGAGTTCAACATGAAGGAGGCTACACCAGAAGAGAAAGAAGGCTTCCGGGCCTCAGACAGAGCAGAGTGGGAAACAATACAAGATCTTCACGCCGTCAGAGTGCTCTCATTGAAAGAATCCAGACAGATTAGAAGAGAACGACCTCATCGCATTCTGCAGTCAAGGTTCGTCAGAAGAAAGAAGCCCATGCCTGGAGTAGGCAAGTGGAAATTCAAGTCTCGATGGTGTGTACTCGGCCATAGTGATCCAGATAATGGCACTTACACCACGTACTCTCCCATGCCGATGACTGAAAGCATCTCCATCTTTTTCCAGCTTTGCGCCAACATGAACATGTGTGTGACCTTTTGCGACGTGACTCAAGCATTTTGCCAGTCCGAACCTTTAGATAGGCCACAGGGTGAACTCTATGTTGAAGCTTGCGAAGGACTAGGTCTTCCTGCCGGAACCCTGGTTCAACTAGTGGCTCCGGTATATGGTCTAGAAGATGCCCCGATTCGGTGGCATCAAACAGTCATTCATTTTCTCAGGGAGCTCGGTTTTCAACGAAGTTTACTGGAACCATGTTGGTATGTGAGAAGGGATGAGAAGAATGAAGTGGAGGCCATGATTTTGGTCGAAGTTGACGACCTGAACGTTGCAGCCAGACCAGAACTGAGAGATCAGCTTCTAGACACTCTCGCTTCTAGGTTTCGTTTTGGCAAAATGGAGTATGACGAGGCTGACTTTGCCGGGCGACATGTCAAGATACAGCCGGGCCGAATTGAAATGAATCAAGAGAAGTATATCCTCGAGAAGCTCCATCCAGTGAAGTTGTCTCTCGGCCGAAAAGGCAACAAGTCGGCAACCTTGCAGCCAGATGAGTTTGAAAGCTTTAGATCCATGCTATATAGAGTAGCGTGGGTGGCACATCAAACCAGACCAGAAGCAGCAGGCGCAGTCAACATCTTGTCATCTAGGTTGAAAGAAGCAGTGATCCATGACATTTGCTGTCTGAACAAACTGATAGTGCATCTGAGAAATACGGCTCAACAATCGCTCACACTGCGCAGCTTCAACAATGACGACATGATTCTGATTTCAGCCTCCGACGCAGGAGGTGTTGATGGATTGCCTCCACCTGGATCCAATGAGACAGACACCGTGCAAGGTGCTTGGGTGATCATGGCAGCAGATCAGCTCCCAAGCGCATCAAATCGAACCAAGGTGAGCATACTAAGCTGGAGATCCTCCAAGTTCAGACGAAAAGTAACATCAACATTAGCCAGCGAAGCTCTTGCCTTCAATCAGTCGTTGGATGAAGTTGAATGGATACAGATCATGATCAGGGACATAGTGAAAGGAGATGTTTCCAGGAAGGACTGGACGCTTTCACTTGCTCCTCACTATCCTGTTCTCCGAGAAAATTGTGAGTTGGCAGAAAGGCTTCAACAATGTCACATTACCGACGCCAAAAGTTTGTATGATGCCCTGCTGAAAGAATCACCAATGTCTCGACAGGATAGACGTACATCAGTCGAACCGAGCATCATTTTGGAATCGCTGCAGAAAGCCAGAAGTGTTGTTCGTTGGGCTCCGCATCCTCGTATGGTGGCTGACGGACTCACAAAAGCTGACATAACACGTTCCAATGGCGCACTAGAAGAACTGCTCAGAACTTCACGACTAGCTTTGTGGGATGAGAGCGAGGAATTTAGACTAAGGAAGACTGATCCAAAGGCCAGAGGCCGCACCAAAGGTGCATCCACTAGGTTGCGACAAAGCGAAGCCAACTTGACAGCCCTCGTGTTCCCCAGTCGAATCAACAGAAATTTCGGGGTGCTGTCAGTTGTTTCCATCGTTTGATTCTCTGTGGTTCCGATGCTTGTTGGCTTCCAGACGTCGCTACCCGTCCCCTTCTGATGCATGCGCATGTGGTGGAAATGGCGTTGAGTTAGGTTCCTTCGTGGGTCCTCCGGGTTCTAACAAATGAAGAAGATTTGAATAAAAAAAGAAGAAGAAAAGAAGAAATGGATGAATAAATGGCAAAGGCATTGGTGGTTGCAAGGCAGCAATTAGCAGCTATGGCCCAAGTGGCGACTAGCTTTCAAGAACTGGAACGTTCGCCGAGGAGGCATACAATAAGGAACTTGATTCGATTGAAGGCTCTTAGAACGACGTGAAGCTTTCGAACATGACAGCTGAGGAGAAGGGAAGGTTAGAGAAGATATATGCCATTTTGGTTGGGCTTCTGAAGAACAGTGCTTTCAAGTTATTGAGGGCCGTTGAAGGCCGCAATGGTTATGAGGTGTGGAGACAGCTGAGTCTCTAGTTGACTCCAAAGACGAGATCGAGGTCGATCGCTTTGTTGCAAGCCTTCCTCAACCACCCCAATTTCACGAAGGACAAAGGAATGACCATGTTGGAGCAGTTGCTTGGTCTGGAGAGGTTGGCTGAAGAGTATGGCAAGGTGGCCAGGGAGGAGATTGGTGACACCACCAAGTTGAACGTGCTGTTGAAGGTGATGCCAGCTGCAATTAAACAACACTTGCAATTATAAATGACGGAGGACACGTCCTATAAGGAGGCCAGAGAGAAGATGTTGGCCTATGAAAGAACCACCACCTCATGGGGAAGGTATGCGATCTACAAGGATTTGGCGATCACCAAGGTCCACGACAGATACGATGAGGTGATCCCCATGGATGTCGACAGAGTGAAAGGAAGGAAAAGGAAAGGATAAAGGCGGCAAAGGCAAGCAGAAAGGAAAGGATTTTGGCAGCTACGCTAACGTGGACTTCAAGGGCAAGGGCAAGCAATACAAAGGAAAAGATGGCAAAGGCAAAGATGCCAAGGCAAAGGGCAAAGGTGTATCCTCAGACCCCTGCAAGCTCTGTGGTGGCAAAGGCCATTGGAGCAAAAACTGTCCAATGAGGGCATTGAGATAGGTCAATGAGACATCCTCCACTATCACAACTTCAGTGGGAGACAGTGCAAAAGTTGCCCAGGCATTAGGTTCGACGCCATCGACAAGCTCGAAGAATGTCAGAAGGGTCGAGACGGTGATCCTCGATGAGGATGAGGAAGACAATGCTGTTGGATATGTCAGGATGGTGGGGACTTAGACCTACGACCTCATCTACAACGACAATGATGAAGATTGGATCATGTTCAAGGAGCCAAGTGAAGACCAAGGAGAAGCTCATTTTGTGGGTTTTGAGGATTTGGTCAGTGGTGGAGGTTCGAGGCCCCACAGGAGAGGATGCAACAAAGTTGACTTTGTTCGCACAGTCGCTGGAGAAGATGGAACAATGGTGATTCTCGACTCAGGTGCTGACATCTCGGTGCTCCCCATGAGCTACCGAGAAGTGGGATTCCCGATTGACCGGGAGACCTCTTTGAGAGATGCCCAAGGAGGGAAGATGACGAATGGCGGCGTGCGCCAAGCCATGAACGAGCTTGAGGATGAAGACGGCCATCTGGTCGAGTTGAGAGAGAGCTTTGCCCTGTCCAATGTCAAGGAGCCACTGCTTGCACTGGGAAAGTTGCTGCGAAGAGGTTGGAAAATAGAAGGAGAAGGAGGAGATGTGCGATTGACGCACGGTCTGTTCAGCAAGAGCCTACAGTTCAGACACAACCCACTCGTGGTGGACGCCAAAATTCGAAGGTTGGTGCAATTGTAAACCAACCTGTGGAGGAGAATAAAGTAAGGGCAATGACCATGGAATTCGAAGGGTTGCTGAAATCTTTGCTGGATGTTGCAGGATGGCACCTCACAAGTGATAGAAGAGTCCCATTTCTAGTCACGTTGAGCACGAAATTCTACAAGGATTCCTTCCACTAATTCAATAGAGTTGATTTTCCTTACAGGTCAACTGTCGTTTGGAAGTCAGGTCTCTGGGAATTGGACGAAATGGTCGAGCAGAAGCAGGACGAAGATGAGATTGAAGAATGAGAAGGTGAAGAGGTGAAGACAATCAACTTCTTTCATCAGACGGTGGATGATTTCATGGCATTGGGAGTGATAAGCCCAGGAGATGATTCGCCGTTCTTGAGGCCCGACATCTACAAGAAGTTCGACCTTGAGGAGAAGAAGAAGAAAGGAAGTGCAGTTGTCGAAGGTTGGTTTGGCAACAGCCTTGAAGATGGAATCTATGAGGAGGAAGATGATGAAGAAGAGATGGGTGAATAAGAGCCAATTAATGATGGCGACCCATTTGAACGCCAGAAAGCTCCTCTTGATCCTGAGATCAACGAAATTGAAGTCGAAGGAAAAATATACAGAGAAACTTCTTCGTTGAGGGAGCTGAGAAGAGCATTGAAGAAGTGTGGCCTTGGCAGAGGAAAAAACAAGAAGGAGGCATGGAAGATGCTCGTATACCACTATCAGCATTCTGCTGAGAAACTGAGCATCGAGCTGTCAAGAAAAGAATTTCAGAGAATGAAGGCTGATGAAGGAGAAGAAGCCAAAGGACAATCAGTGCCAAGGATGCCTTCGAAAGCGGAAAGACAAGTCCATGAATTGACTCACTTTCCATACCAGCCTTGGTGCCAGCATTGCATCGTTGGAAGAGGCCGAGATGATTATTATCTGAGCGCCAAACCCGCTTCAAGACAAGAAACAAAAGCAGAGATGCCCGTGATCTCGATGGATTTCTGTTTCAGCCGAGGTGATGATGAGATGGACGTTGAAATGAAGGAGGACCTGCGCATCTACCAAGGTGATTTGAGAGGAGGAACATGCTTGGTGGTGACAGACGATTGGTTACATGCAGTGTTGTATGTACCAATACCAGGGAAAGGCAGGGCCCACCTGAAGTTCATGGCTGAGCAAGCGATGAGGTTCATTGGGAGCTTGGGATATTCAAGAGTAATCGTCAAGAGAACCATCGATTTTTTTTGGTTGGAGGTACTTCAATAAACAAGGTTGAGGCTGGGATTCCATACAAACATTGAGATCAGTGGCCCAGCAGACTCACAAGCCAATGGTCGTGTGGAGAAAGAGATCCAGACGGTGAGAGGCATGGCGAGGACATTGGTGCACGGTGTCAAAGAAGGCTGTCAAATGCCCATCAAGCCATCTTCGCCAGTGTTCCTTTGGGCTATGCGCCATGCTGGATGGTTGTTGACACACTACAGAAGGCAAGGAGGTGGATCAACAGCCTATGAGACCAGGACAGGAAGAAAGTACTGTGGCAAAGTTGCAATCCTTGGCGAAGGAGTGTTGGCAAGAGTGAAAAGAACTAACGGCAGCGACAAATTTGAACCAGGTCTTTGGTTTGGAAAGACGGACAGAGCAGACTTCCACATGGTAGCAATAGCAGCAGGATTGAAGTGGACAAGAACCATTAGAAGGCTACCGACTCCTTTTGACCCTGAGGCCGTGACGTATGTGAAGTTCTGGCCATGGAACATTGGGTTTGGACAGATTGGTGCTAAAGCTTCTTCGCTGGTTGGCAAATTCCCTACAGTCCCATTGCCTCCACATCTCGCCCCAGGAATTCGAGCAGAAGAGAAGAAGCTGGCTAAGGAAGAGAGAGCAAAGAAGAAGGAAGATGAGGCGAGGCTGAGGGGTGAAGAAGGACGAGAGGACAAGGGACAGGCAGGGGCAGATGAAGAGAGCAGCAAAAAAGACGATCCAAACATGAATGATTACACTCCAACACAGCCAGACGAAGACAGGAATGAAGGAGGTCTGGTGATTACAGATGACACGTTGCTGCAAGACCTGCTTGATAATTTGGAGGAACCTATGGTTGAGAGCGAGGCTGACAAGGCACCCGCAAATCCAAG